ATATATGTAGAAAGGGATATTAGCTCTTCAGTCAGTCGTGCGAAGCCAAACGATAATGGGTTTTTTTCATGTTCACATTAGACTAATATTTCCCGGAGGTAACAATGAGATAAGGTGTGCGTTTGTAAACGTTTACCAAAAATGACTTTCAGTAATTGATGTGCAAGGAACATGTGTTAAATCAGGTCTCACTTTACAAGTCATATTATTTAAGAGTTTCTTATTAAATATGTGTATTCGACTACAGAATACAGGGTGTTGTTTGTAGTCAGGATCATGTCGGTCAATACATGGTTTTATCAATCTAGATCAGCAACTCATTGTCGGCTGATATTGCTAACCAATATCTTTAAAACCGCGTATCGACCCTATCAACGTCCTATCATTGTATTATATTTTAAACATGTTATTCATGTCGACATCTCGTGATTTATATTAAAATTCGAACGATCAATATTCAAAAATCTTGTAAATGATGGCTAAAAATTGTTTGTTATGTTCTAAACTTGTGATTTGTATTAGAAATGATGTTATTTCTGTTCTTAATGAATCTTCTGATTTTTTTAAGAAGACCCTTGATAGTTTCTCTGATGAATAATTATAAGATGTCATATAAATTATCTAACATAGTGTGACATCAATGTTGTTAATCGAAGAAATGGACTCCCCCTTTGTCATAAGTAAAATGCAATGATACAAGCTTAATGGAATTAGGTACGAAAAGAAACTATTTGTGGGAGTGACATCCCATTTAAAGAGCAAGTAGCTAGAATATTAAAATCTTCTAAGATATATTAGTCACACACATATATATAAGACGTCTTATCATACCGAGGCACGATCACTGTTGCCAGTTTTCAGTCGTTGGTAGATTCCTCCGATTGGTTTGCGGAGCACCCAGGGACTACACTAACCACTAGTATAAGTTGAAGGCACTTCCGAATCACGGTCACGTGTTCAAATTTTACAGTTGGTAGTATTACAAGTTGTCAGGTGGCACACAGATATTGCGCAAATGAAATATAATTTCGTGCTGGTAGTCGTTTGTAGTCGACACATTAATTATAGACCTTTTAGATGTTATGATTTGATGATTTGGTCAACATCCTAAATGGAACGATATATATAGGAAATAAGTCTATATAGGCCCAATGTAACTAATCGATTTCCAACAAGCAGAATTATGATTATTTAATGGCATACATGAAATGATGTGCTGAACATATCTATCGCGGTTCTTAGAGCCGATGGAAAATCACTTTCTCCTTATTGTCCTACCAGTGATATATACGAGTTGTTCCTTACCTAAAAAGGACTAATTAGTTCAGTCTCCTTGATGTATCAAAGGTGATCTTCTTGTAAAATACCTGTCAATGTTTTGACGGGTCAGGACCGTCATATGTCCAGGTGCTGATGTACTATGTGTGTGGGATTACTGATGGGCAACATTTTGTCACAGTATTCTTATACCTAGAGTTCAAAGCTGACCTCCTTATCAGTAAGCAATGCATCTGCACTATTCGTTGCTTGCAAAACTCGATCAATCATAAAATGTATATCTTGTTAATTTTTGGCAATAAAAGGTTCTCCTACACTATTCTGGTTTAGAAGAATAAAGCCAGGTTCTAATATATTCAAACATGTATTCATGTTTTCCTTTTAGATCTCAATTTTACAGACAGGCTATTGAGTTTGTTTACGAATATCGCTGGTAGGGCAAGCTTCTACCGGCAAGCTGGTGGATGTACTGGTAGAGTAGTGCTAACTACCTTTGTACTATAGTACATGTATTTTATGTATGTCATGTTGTTTTGCAATTTGTGTGATATTGAAAGTTTTTATTAGTTAATATTTACATTTGCATGGCATTGTCACTATATAGCGCGCATTATGTTGTTTGCTTGCAAAGCTGTGTCATTCAAATAGATCATAAATACCATTCAAAAACAGTTCAATGCTTAAGTTGTTATTGATTGTAGTGGGTTTTGATCTTCGGTAGGGTCATTTGTTTCCCAAAACTTTATAGAAAGATGATTCTAGTAAACATGTAAGGAGAAGCGGACTTGGAGTAGGAGATGTTACTCAAAAAACAGTTATTATGTAGACAAGTTCTAGTCAGTGTATAGATTTGTTTACAACGTGTGTTTGTCACGGCGGTGTACCATCTTCATGTTTAGTCAATATATGTGTATTGACTGTCGATGAGGCAATTCTAAACCAAAACAGAGAAGGGCATCAGACAAGTGAGACCAGACCTAAACAAAATTCGACACCAGACCAATGGGACCAGAACAAAACCAATTGTGAAAATATACCAATGAGCCAAACCAGAACAAATTTTGAGACCAGACCAGAACCGACTGTACCAGAATAATAAAATCAATTACCTGTAACTGAGCGAGATCGGGTTTATTACAGTTTCAGGCTAAGATTCTGTAACATAATTCCAACTGAGGCGTACATGTAAGTAAGCCGAGGTTGGGATTATGTTACAGAATCTTAGCCCGAGACTGAGATAACCCGATCTTGCTCAGTTACAGGTAATTGATTTGTTTTCTCGCACCTATTAGTACGAAAAAAATATATCATTTTTGCTAAAAACTACACCAGTATCCCGTCTGGGGCCTCAACTAAAAAATGGCCTCTACAATACTAAAGCTATATTTGAATGCTACCGCGTAAAACGTAGTCCGTCCGTTTAAAGAAGACTGGGTATTTCACGGTGTGATTATATTTTATCTACAACATAAAAAAAATGGCAAAACAAAATATGTATAATGCAGATTGTCAATGTCAAGCCCTTAACGCGCGGACGAATACATCGCAGTGTAAATTTTCCGAGAAATGTCACGTAAAGGTACCTGACAGATCGGACGAGATAGAAAAGTCAAGCATGTGGTATGACGTAGGATATCTCTGTCTAAGATGCGAGAACGGATTGTACCAGACCGGGCCAGGCTTTATAATGTATATGACAGTATCAATTGTGTCAAAACTTCCACTTATCTTTTTCTTTTTCTTTTCAAAGGGGATAACAATATGATTTAATTAGTCGTAAAAGCTTTGCCAGGCCGGACATTTGTCGTAAGGCAATAGCATGTGTTCAGACATTGCGTTTTGTGGTTTATCTATATGCTTACTTTATTTCGGTTTTAGCCTCCATTCGCGTCTTTTTTATTTGCTTCTCTGTCAGTGTTGTCATGTTTCTTGAGATTCACCTGTCTTACATGTGACAACCATCTATCCGTCTTTTCTCTTTGCTGTGGTCTAGTGTTGATCTAGTCTAGCTTAGTTTTAACAGGTTATTTATGTATGTGACTGATTTCTTTGTCTATTTAGCAGTTACCACTGTAGGACACGGGCACTTTACATATCGATGGACCTTTAAGAATTTTATGTTAATCAGTATAAGAAACAACAACCATTGACCCCTGGCTACACGTTTTAAAGTGATGAGCCAAGGGTAAGTCATTAAAAGTCCTCTAATGGTATTATATTTTTATCAGTATACTTCTAAACAAAACAAATAGTATTGCTGATGGGTTATACAGTATTTCCTTTTATCTTTTCGTTCATCAAATAAGATGCAAAAAAGTAACAATACACCACAAATATATATATATATAAACTAGTATACTACATCCATGTATATATACTACATATATTACTACGCACATTAAGATCTAATACATTGAAAATATGTGTGCAAAATGTAACGGTTTCTTTTGTCCATAACGCATTCTTTATATTATTTCCTCTCATTTTATCAATTTTACATTTTTTTCTATATTATATAAGTGTACAGGTATGTATTTCAATAGAAGGGACGTAACTCTTATAAGTTGTACCATTATTAAACAATTATATTGGCAGTCAGAGATAGCTAATGAGTTGTATTAGTGCAAAGACAGATTCCCACGACTCCACTTCTTTTTAGGCTAAACTTAGTAACAAAGTGCCCACTTAATAATTATAAGGGTGCCCAAAAACATTCAGAAGATGCCCACAACCCCTAACGTTATTTATCTCGTAAAGAAATACATATAGGCCGGAGTAAACAAGTAGGGTATTAAAGAGTGTGATCGTGAGTGAGAGGATGAGTCTGACGTGAGCCTGAGTCTGAGTGATGTATTGGACTATACTTTTGTGTAACAATATTCTTTATCTTAGATACACTATATAATGAACTTTACCAAATGTGTTGTTTCTTTACTCTGGAGAAAGTCAAATCAAGACCAACATTATATTATTGTGACGGATAAGTATTATTATACGTCTCTGGTGATACCACGGACTTAGATCTAATCAAATTCCGTGGTGATACGAACGAAACGTCAAAATATTTTCTCAATATGTGAAATAATCTATAACAGACGTTCAACCAACGACAGACTTTAGAGGAACGCTCTTCCTCTGTATAATACTATGATGGTGACCATATTCCTAACGCGGTTATAAATTAGATAAATAGTTTTGACAACGTTGGTTTTTATTAATCAATTTGGTAGGCATATCTTGTGATTATGCAAGACATCGTCCTTAATGACAGACACAAGTCACATTTTTTTTATCTAAATCTATCCACGAATATTCAAATCTTCAGCCGAATATCTGTAGTTACGACAAAGACAGCTTCCCCAAAAAGGAAACTTTTTATTAGTATTTTTGCAAATAATATTACTTACAAGACTATTTACGTTACAAGCCAATAAATAGACTAACTCTCCCTAATCAAATTAAAGAGAACCGGACAATTTTCTGTGTATGTCAAGTTGTGACCGAGAGAAACAATTAATTAGAAACTCTTGATTGGTGATCATAGAAAAAATAAACATATTTGAGAAAAGAAAGAATGCATCATCAAAGTATTTATCGCTGTCACAGACACTCAAAAATTTATTTATTTGAAGCAGAGACGTATAAAGTCTCTGTTTGAAGAGATGCGGTGCATGCGAGGAACGAGCTCGAGAGCTCTTCAACCATGGAGGTAGTAAAGCATCTTTACTTCCGGGTGAGTTTTCTTCTCGATTGTTACGTTAAAATTGCTACAGTTCAATGTCTAAACACGCTCTGTGTTTGAAGCAAGGTAACAAAACAAGCGATATATATATATTGAGTATATGTTTTCTACCAATCTCGTTACATGCTGTACTTTAGTTGAACTGAAATTAGATAATGTAAGACATACACGTCGAAGTTACAGCTATGAAACAGCCAGAATCATAGACAGCTGATGCATGTCATAAGATATTGACACTGATGCAGTGATTTTGGATACGTGTTTTTAGTCCAGACTCATGTCTTGTGAAGATCTACTGTATTTTGGAACCCACTATATCTCGAAGTAATGGAACTCTCATTTTGAAAGTTATGTTCAGGACTCTACTGAAAAACCCTTACAAAATTTACTACCGAAAACCCTTGCTCATGTCTAAATTTAGAAGTACCTGTTTCTCTGCTACATCTGTCTCTGTGTCTTGATATTCTGCGCATTGCTGTGTGGATACCGCAAGTGTTTTGATTCCATATTTTTTTGTGTAGTACAAGTAAACACAACAAATTAAACGTCAGCATAATTTTGAAAACATTTTCTCAAGATCCACTTCCATTTTATACTGTATCAGTATCACAGTTCATACACTGTGTGTTGTAAATAGATAGGAACAGGTCACATAATGGTGTTGTTCAGTTATGACGAGAGAATTGAATAACTGGTCATGGTAGAGTAAGGATTAAGGGTAGTGATTGCAAACTGACATGCCAGTTAACAGGGTTGATACTATTTAAATAAAATGGTAGCATGCAGGGTTTTTTAATTTGGGTGGAAACCAGAATACATAAAAAACATGTGGTTAGGCAGGCAAATTAAAAAAAATAGATAAAAGTTAAAAAGCAAAATGGACTTAATATTTTGGGTTTCAATTTTGATATTTAAAACTGTAAGATCTATTATAAATAACATTTGTTGAACAGTTTTTGCCCAAGAAATTGGGGGAGATTTCAACTGTTTTATATCCAACCAAAACCATATTATTCTCCATGTTATGAGTCACAGGATAAGCAAAACATATATGGATAAATGATCCCGACCAAAGATACAACAACATGTGCTTAAGGCTGGCATGGCCTCAAACCACCAACTAAACAGACATCGGTCTCTTGGTAGCAGCTAACTCCAATACGCTAATTATAATTACCACACTACAGTGTCCCGAACTTGAACAAAGCTATATGAAGTACTGAATTAAATGCACATATTATTTTTGCATACAGAAGTTATATACCATTCATCAACTATGTTATACCACGGAATTAGATTAAGTCCGTGGTTATACACTCAAATTGATCCTTTACCAATATGATTGAGATTTATTGTCAACCGATGATAATAATTAGACACATGTATGTTGATTTTCTACATGTATATTTGGTATCACATTCAAAATTTGATCATAAACTTCTTTACACTTTTTTTTTTCAGTCTGATCTACTGTTCGAGTCATGAGATGATGGTTGACTGATGAAACACATCAATATGGCTGAAGACAGGGAAATAATGCGAGAGATATGGGACGGACGAATACCTGTGTGTTTCTCAATATACCTGGAGGATTTGGAATCAGAGGAACCAGAATCTGTCTATGTTTGTTTTCATTTTTTTTTATATTTCTTTTGATACATGATTGTGATACATGAACTTGTTTTAACTCATGCAAAATTGAAAACAAATTAGGCCCGCGAATAGTAAAATAAGTTTCTGACTGCGTGTTACCAACATTTAAAACTAATAAAGTCAAAATTGTTGTTCTATATGCTGCTGTGTGATTGCAAATCTTTATATACGCATACACAGGAAAACATGGTCGCGCTTTTGTGACTGACAATTATTGTTTTTACATGGACAGTTTTACGTTAAAAAGGTAAACATTTTACCTGCACACAAGACAGAATATTTGAAGAAGCAAGCATTGTGAATGTTGACACATATAAGACCACATTCTTATTCGCTGAGGTGTGAAAATGTCACCTCATTTGCTGTAAATTCACCACAAACTGTCTTGTTAGGAATTGACAGAAGCCTTTCATACCCTTTAGCAAATCATACCAAATCTCACATCAGGGCAAATGATTGATTATTAAACACATGCATGATGTACTGTATGCCCTTGAAGTGAAAAGTTGTGTACACAGTGTTTTTAGTGTGTTGGGTGGCCACACAGCAATGACCTATATAAGATATGTAATACTTAACAAAGTATTTTAATCTTAAACTGTCGAAAGAAATAGCATCCTATATTTCATATTCTAATTGATTAAAACAGGTTTGTTTACCAGATCGACATAATTATCTAATTAAAAGGTTTTTAGAGACCTTGTTACACAATACTGTATCAACAAAACATGTTACATGTTTTAATGCCCTGAATGATATTTTATTTCATTTTCAATTCACAGTTAATGATGCCGCGTCTAAGTTACTTCCCGTTAGTGACTGAAAAAATCCAGAAGCATTTTATAAAATATGTTTCCTCTGAAAAGCAAGGTGAAATGTGGCTGGAATATGAAGGCCAACCCTTAAAATGGTAAGTATGGGTTCTTAAGATTTTAGTGGAACTCAAATCAAATAGGCTCCACTATTTCCAGACTCATACAAGTGTATTATTATTATGCTATTATTATTATTGGACTGAATTCCTTTCATTCAGATATTATCATTAATCAAGGATTTAAGCTTACATATGATATGACATGAACAGTAAAAAAGAAAAGAAAGACATCAAAGAGATTTTATACATCAGATTATGATGGATATGTTGTTTACATGTAAAATGAGAGTGTTAACATCAGGAACACGTTGCTTTGCTCCTTTATAAGATGTACAATGTACATACCAAATAAATGGTACTGATTTAGTTAATCAAAATGTGCATATCTAAAATCTTATTTCTTTTTCTGTTGTAGAGTAAGTCATATGGAATTAGTTGTTCCTTTTCATGCCATTTGAATTATTATTGTTTTAATTTTTAAACTTGAAAATAATATTGCCTACATATAAATATTTTGTAAAATGTAGGAAACTAAAGTATAATTTAGTTTACATTGAAATATCTTGTGTATAGAACAATGTGAATGGAAACAGTATTATCTGGGATATACTCATCGGTTTATCCTACTAGTATTATGTAGAGATTATCTTGTATGTGTTTGTTGCAGGCATTACCCTATCGGCCTCTTGTTTGACCTGTTTGCCTGTAAGGACAACCTACCCTGGAGTGTCACTGTACATTTCCAGGTATGTGTTCACGCCTCCGTCATTATTCCTGTATTTTTCGGAATCTTTCATCGTACATTGAAGATCCAAATTATGTTACATGTAGACTAGGCAATGATGCTTGTCTTTAACTTGTTTAATGGGATTTTATTGTTTCCTTACAATTTTTTCATTTTTCTTTAGTCGATCAAATGGGAATTCCACACCAAGATTCCTTTAACAAAGTTCTTGCTTGTAATTGTTCTTAAAATAAGAAAGTTGAAGTTCAATTGATTATTGTTTCTATAGGAAAGTTTCTTTACAACATATAGCTCTTCTGTGAGTCAAACTTAGTTAGGAAACAGGACTGCCATGCCCAAAATCCTGCATGGAATTGTGTTCATGTCAGGTTGCAGGTTAATACATGTACATGTTTACAAGTGGAAAATCTTTAACAGTTTATCAAATATCATTTCATATAATATCTCAGCTCTCCATAGAGATAATCATAAATGTTGCAGAGCAATGTTAAATGACTGACTTTAAAGTTTCAGGATTCAAGGAAACCACAGTAGCTAGCCTATCATGGGTGGAGTCATGCTGTTTATTTATTTCATGGGAGCAATCTTTGTTGATAATTTGTTGGATTTTTGGTTATACTGAGATAAAGTACTTTATTAACAGTTTCTGACCTAGCAAAATGCCTTGTCCTTATCAGATGCTGCTAAAGTTTTCAAGTGAATTTGTCATATGAACCTGTCAATGTACACATATATCATATAGTATATGTAACTACCATCTATTTCATTCACTCTCTGAAGAGTTATGTCCCTTGATACTTTCATCTTGTGTATGAAATATGGAATCATTATCCTCCTTCAAATTAAATAAGAGTGATTAGCTATCAAATTAAGAATCAACACCTAGAAGAAAATTAAATGCAGTCTTAATTGGCATAAATGATTACAGGATTATTAAACCTTGAATACCTCTAGATCTTAAACCATTCAGGATAAAGCATTGTGATAGGCAGCAGTAACGGATTCATATAGATGTGGGATGGGATTAGATAGCCCCTTGATAAGAGTTCCAGTTAGCTTTAAGCCATCACTAATTGGAAAATTTCTCCCTAATACAAAAGACACATTTCTCTGCAACAATACCGTACATTTTCTGATATACAATGAAAAGACCCGATTGCTACAATGTAAAAACTTTCCAAAAATTGTAGTTGCTGAACATCTGCTATTTAAAAGACCTGTAATTAGCCAGACTAAGCCTAGAGATTTTTCTATATGTAAAAAGTAGACTGATTTCTAATAACAAATCAAACAGTATTCCACATTTAACACTACTTTACATCATTATAATGAATATCACCTGCCTGTAAAATACTGTAACCTATGGTTCATGCCAGATATAGCCATAATGATCAACAACTTGTAGTCTTTAAATATAATCATGAAATTTTCTATGTACAGAACTTTCCAGAAGAGGACCTTATACACTGTAGCAGTAAAGAAGCAGTGGAGTCACACTATATATCCACGGTAAAGGAAGCAGACACGCTGAAACACCGCGGCCAGGTTATCAACAGTATGCAGAAGCGTGACCACAAGCAGCTGTGGTCAGGGCTCCTTCATGGTAGGTCTTACTTCCTGTACTGTATCATGGTCAGTCTTACTTCCTGTACTATTATGGTTGGTCTTACTTCATGTACTGTATCATGGTCAGTCTTACCTCCTGTACTATTATGGTTGGTCTTACTTCCTGTACTGTATCATGGTCAGTCTTACTTCCTGTACTATTATGGTTGGTCTTACTTCCCGTAGTATCATCACAGGTCTTGCTTCCAGCTGTATAGTATCATTTTATTTTTATTTTTATTCAAGATTATTTTGCAATATATGGTATATTTACATTCAAACAATTCATATTATATATTCAGACCTCACACGACTCATATATACTCTTACTTACATCAGTTGATATATTTAGACATAAGTACATGTAATGGTACCCATATACACATATATTGCCTTTATGAGAACACAGAGAGAGAGAGAATAGAAAAGAAGAAGAACGAAAAAAAATAGCAATGAAAAACGGAGAAAGTCAACAGAAATAGGAAGAAAAAGGAGAAACTGTTTTTTTTTTGTACTGCAGCTCAATAATAAAAAACTTAATGTTTAGAATAAGATTATAAGATAATCTTCTGTATTAATTGTAAGTAAGGTGCTTTCGGCTTTAAACTACAAGTAAATACAGCCATATAAAGGTGACTGAGAAATGAGGGTAATACTCAGGACAAAATATATTTATATCATAAAAGAGATTAACTTTAATAAGTTCAGACAGAAACATCAACTTAGATTCACAAAAAAGGGACAAAAACAATATATTTGGAGTTCAGGCAAGATTCAATACAGGTATGGTAAAAGGAACATAACTGCCAAAAAAAAAGTCCTTGTGAAAACTTAGTGTGTGCTGGCTACATGTATGTGCATCAGTGTATTTTCAAAATATAAAATGAGAACTACTGTGGGAGGAGATGTATTGTGTCTGCTGACTTGATGATATTAAATTATTTAATTTTGGCTTATAATTCCAGGAGGTGGTTCCATTTTTTCCATTCTCTTTCCAGTTTTTTTTACAAAATTATCCCCCTTGCAACATGCTATATATTTTTGTACAGAATGATGGTCTTTTATGCTGTTAATTAAAGCATTTACTGACAAAGAGTTTTGAAGGCATCTTGTTTTATAAATATAGTGTTTGATCATAATAACAAATTTCATTATCTAGTCTGTTGCCTATTCCTGACTGTGACACTATTCCGAAAAGGAAGGATTCCTTATTAAAAGAAAATAGGATAATTAAAGCTTCTAGTAATGTTTCAAAACTGTATAGGAAATTTTGTACAATGGCACACTCCCATAATGTATGAATTATTGTTTCCCTGTCTAGATTACAAAAAACACATAAAGGATTATTAGAGAGACCGGCTTTGCATAGATATATATTTGTTGTCAAAATATGATGGATATAGTATCATGGTTGGTCTTGCTTCTTGTACTATTAGGGTCGGTCTTACTTACTTTACTTTATGGTAGGTCTTACTTCTATTACTATATCATTGTATGTCTTTCTTTCTGTAATATTTGGGTCGACCTTACTTCCTGTACTTTATGGTAGGTCTTACTTCCAGTGCTATATCATTGTATGTCTTACTTCCTGCAGTATCATGGTTGGTCATACTTCCTGTAGTATCATGGTTGGTTATACTTCCTGTAGTATCATGGTAAGTCTTAGTTCCTGTACTATTTCATGATAAGTCTAACTTCCTGTAGTATCATAGTTGGTCTTACTTTCTGTACTATATCATGGAAAGTCTTACTTCTTGTAGTATCATAGTTGGGCTTATTTCCTGTACTATTTCATGATAAGTCTAACTTCCTGTAGAGGGGCCGCGGTGGCCAAGTGGTTAAGGCATCTGACATTCTGCTACCAGTAGCCCTCCAACACTGGGTCCCAGGTTCGAGACCTACGTGGGGCAGTTGCAAGGTAATGGACGTACATGTAGGTCAGTGGTTTTTCTACGGTGACTCCGGCTTTCCACCACCACCAAAACCTGGCACGTCCTTAAATGACCATAGCTGTTTATAGGACGTAAAACGCAAACAAACCAAACCAAACTTCACGAGTATCATGGTTGGTCTTACTTTCTGTACTATATCATGGTTGTTCATTCCTCCTGTAGTATCATGGTTGGTCTTACTTCCTGTACTATATCATGGTTGGTCATTCTTCCTGTACTTTATCATGGTCAGTCTTACTTTCTGTACTATATCATGGTTGTTCATTCCTCCTGTAGTATCATGGTAGGTCTTACTTTCTGTACTATATCATGGTTGTTCATTCTTCCTGTAGTATCATGGTTGGTCATTCTTCCTTCATGGTTGGTCTTACTTCCTGTACTGTATCATGGTTGTTCATTCCTCGTGTAGTATCATGGTTGGTCTTACTTACTGTACTATATCATGGTTGGTCATTCCTCCTGTAGTATCATGGTTGGTCTTGCTTCCTGTACTATATCATGGTTGTTCATTCCTCCTGTAGTATCATGGTTGGGCTTACTTCCTGTACTATATCATGGTAAGTCTTACTTCCTGTACTATATCATGGTCAGTCTTACTTCCTGTACTATATCATGGTTGTTTATTCCTCCTGTAGTATCATGGTAGGTCTTACTTTCTGTACTATATCATGGTTGGTCATTCTTCCTGTAGTATCATGGTAGGTCTTACTTTCTGTACTATATCATGGTTGGTCATTCTTCCTGTAGTATATCATGGTTGGTCATTCTTCCTGTAGTATATCATGGTTGGTCATTCTTCCTGTAGTATCATGGTTGGTCATACTTCCTGTAGTATCATGGTAAGTCTTACTTCCTGTAGTATCATGGTTGGTCATTCTTCCTGTACTTTATCGTGGTCAGTCTTACTTTCTGTACTATATCTTGGTTGTTCATTCCTCCTGTAGTATCATGGTTGGTCATTCTTCCTTCATGGTTGGTCTTACTTCCTGTACTTTATCATGGTTGGTCATTCTTCCTGTAGTATATCATGGTTGGTCATTCTTCCTGTACTTTATCATGGTCGGTCTTACTTTCTGTACTATATCATGGTTGGTCATTCCTCCTGTAGTATCATGGTTGGTCATTCTTCCTTCATGGTTGGTCTTACTTCCTGTACTTTATCATGGTTGGTCATTCTTCCTGTATTATATCATGGTTGGTCTTACTTCCTGTACTGTATCATGGTTGTTCATTCCTCCTGTAGTATCATGGTTGGTCTTACTTCCTGTACTATATCATGGTTGGTCATTCTTCCTGTAGTATCATGGTTGGTCTTACTTCCTGTACTTTATCATGGTTGGTCTTACTTCCTGTGGTATCATGGTCAGTCTTACTTTCTGTACTATATCATGGTTGTTCATTCTTCCTGTAGTATCATGGTTGGTCTTACTTCCTGTACTGTATCATGGTTGGTCATTCTTCCTGCAGTATCATGGTTGCTCATACTTCCTGTACTATATCATGGTTGTTTATTCCTCCTGTAGTATCATGGTAGGTCTTACTTTCTGTACTATATCATGGTTGGTCATTCCTCCTGTAGTATCATGGTTGGTCTTACTTCCTGTACTATATCATGGTTGGTCATTCCTCCTGTAGTATCATGGTAGGTCTTACTTCCTGTACTTTATCATGGTTGGTCTTACTTCCTGTAGTATCATGGTTGGTCTTACTTCCTGTACTTTATCATGGTTGGTCATTCTTCCTGTAGTATCATGGTAGGTCTTACTTTCTGTACTATATCATGTTTGGTCATTCTTCCTGTAGTATCATGGTAGGTCTTACTTCCTGTACTATATCATGGTTGTTCATTCCTCCTGTAGTATCATGTTTGGTCATTCTTCCTGTAGTATCATGGTTGGTCTTACTTCCTGTATTTTATCATGGTTGGTCTTCTGTAGTATCATGGTAGGTCTTATCTTACTTCCTGTACTATATCATGGTTGTTCATTCCTCCTGTAGTATCATGTTTGGTCATTCTTCCTGTAGTATCATGGTTGGTCTTACTTACTGTACTATATCATGGTTGGTCATTCTTCCTGTAGTATATCATGGTTGGTCATTCTTCCTGTAGTATCATGGTAAGTCTTACTTCCTGTACTATATCATGGTAAGTCTTACTTCCTGTGGTATCATGGTTGGTCTGACTTCTTGTACTATTAGGGTCGATCTTTAAATTCCTGTACTATATGCTATGTCTTACTTCCTGTACAACAGGGGGGAAAATGTATTAGCAATGCATTCCTCAATGACATCGTCAGGGGACACACACATCTTGTACTTGATCTTAGTGTCTACATGTATGTCACTCTATGAATATTTCAGTTTTCAGATTCACAATTTGGGGTAAATTTAATTCAGTTTTCTCTTCACATAAATGATAAAAACCAATTCCATCGATGTTAGAAACATTTTGAACATTATGGTTTGATATATGTTATCTATAGGGCACATTTTGTGACAACCTGGTGTATTGTCGTGGAAACATTGATAAGCATTTCACTGTATAAATGTACTGCAAATGACATGATTTCATTTTTTCGAGAAAATTCAAAATACTTTTTTGAGTAGTTCTAGGCTAACTAGCCCAAAAGTACAATTTGTACAGTGCATTTCATACAATGTCATACATATTGTATACATTTTGCATATTAAGAATGTACATTAATGTGTCAAGATTTCACATCTTGACTTCTGTTATTGTTCTAGATATTTAACATCATGCATATAATATATCTTACTTAGAAAACTAAGTATACAAAATTTCCAGCATTTCTTAATATGTTCACTTCTGAACAAAGATTTCAGATTTACATGTTTTTCTGAATACAATGACAAAATGAAGACAATTTGCTATTCCCATTTCATGCTCATTGCACTCACTTAAAAGTCATTATAATTTACATTAACATATTTTAGAAACAAAAATCCTGAAGAAAAATATAATACAATGTATTTTCTAGTTATATTTGATTTCAGAAAAGTTTGATCAATGTTGGTCAGTCAACAGTAAACAATAGAGTACAATATTCTTTTTATTTATTTTTTATTTCAGAAAAGTTTGATCAATTTTGGTCAGTCAACAAGAAATTAATGGAATCCTCAGGAGAAGATATGTTTAAAAGTATTCCCTTTAGATTATATTTTGTAAGTATTATTGATAATGGTGGTCTTGTTTACAAGGTGGCTGCAGTTTCTTGGTTATGATGAAGATTGTTCTATTGATAGGTTGCTATAAAAGAATGTCTTTCTGCTGTTTAATGAGTCACATGACTGTATAAGTATTAAATACATTCTTTCTGTGTCAAGTCAAGTCAAGGCTGAAATGCAAACACATGTTTGCCAAAAAATATCTCGTACAGTGTAGTAACTATAAAATCTGCTGCCACGGTTAAGGAAAAATGTATCTAAAACAGAAAAAAAATCTCAGTTGGCCATGCTGTCTAGGGCTTTTGAAGGTGTTTGATCTGATGGGTACTAAAAGGCATTGGGTTTATTCCTGATTTAAGTTACGAGTACATTGTGTCAGACATCTAAAGAAGGGCTCTTAATAAATGTACATGTATAGATAAATGTTTGGAATGATATTAGTGAAATCATTGACTGGACAAGACTGTAAGAAATGTGAACAAAACAAAAGGAGTGGGATAGGGGGGTTTAGTAGTAGGAACTAAGTGTCGCAACCTATTATACTTTTATGTTACAGTCTGAGAGGCCATATGTACAGCAGTTATTTCGACCTGTGAATGCAGAAGGTTACAGTCAGACTCTTCGCGACCTCCTGATGGAAGTTGTACCTAGTTTGTGGAATGAAGGTACATGTACCATAAACTACCATTTAAGACTGTTTAGTTAAGTAACCATCTCGTCTGCTGGATAACCGAACTACTTGGTAGTAAAGCGGACCTAAAACCTATCAATCAATCAATCAATAAATAAATCGATCAGTCAGTATTGATTGATTCTGTGTTCTAGTGATCATGGCTTCTGTGGAAAAACATATTGATATATATTGCCTTAACTAGTCTATACATACAATTGTTTATGAGATAGCTTCTATTGCCATGTGGCTGCGTTGGCCAAGTGGTTGAGGCGTCTGGCATTCTGCTAACACTAGCCCTCCACCACTGGGTCGCAGGCTCAAGGCCTACATTGGGTAGTCGTCAGATACTGGCCGTAGGACGATGGTCTTTCCTCGGGGAACTTCGGCTTTCCTCCACCACCAAAACCTGGCACATCCTTAAATGACCATAGCTGTTAACAGGATGTAAAATACAAACAAACCAAATACTACTTCATATTGCTGGTCAATGATTCTGTGTTTCAACAAAAGTATGTTATAGTTGTGTGAAGTTTGGTTGAATATCTCGACTAAACACAAAAAAACGATTTTTCTATCCTACACAATGAATTCAGCAATGCTTTGATATAACTCCTGTTTTATATTTTAGATAAGACATTCTCGAGAACAGTTGTGATACATGGGGTGGAACCAAGCCTTGATATGCCCCTGTTGTGGATGTCGGAGCATCTTAGTTATCCGGACAATTACCTCCACTTTTGTATACTGGACAAACCCAAAGTGGAAAAGGGATGACAAGATAATAATTCATTAGTAGTTACACCAGTTCATGTGACCAGACATTGTAAAGAGTGTTTGGAGGTAAATGATGTCATAAATAAAGACACCCAAAAGGTCAGTGAGTACTGTATGTATGTGTTGAGGTAGTATTAAATGTACTGAACGTGCTACTTCATCTTAAGTGTGTGAGAAATGACTATGAATCAAGTATACGGTTATACATACAGTGCTGTGACCTAGTTCTCTGTCTCAAAGGTGGTCTTTATTTCCCCTGGCACACACAATGGCCTGGTAAGGGTTGTGCTGTGTTTCTGACCGAGTATCTATAGGTTTGATAAAATTTATTTTGAATTTAGAATCATTTTCACATGTCTGGCATAACATAATCATTGGCTCGTACGTGATGTGTGATATACATATATATATATGTGTAAAACTACAATTAAATCCATTTTTTCTATACAATATTATATGTACATTTGACAAAGCATAAAAAGCAAACACAAGAAATCAGGGTATATCAGTATTTGAAGAAAACTACAACATATAATACAAAAGTTGGTTTTTAAATTATTTCTGTAGAATAGTTGATTGTGATGCATGCAGTCATTAAGAAGGTCATTTTTTTCAGGAAAGAATAAAAATTAGATTGATTTCTGAGGACGACTTTCCTTGTAAGTGATTGGTTAAGATAAAGAATGTACATGGTATTCAAACTTACTGAATGTCTCTGAACAGGAATGAAAATTCCAGTTCAGCATCATACTATATTAACCTTAGGTTGGCAGATTTAAAAAAAAAAAAAAAAATCCAATTCTAAATAGATAAAAGAAAATAAAGTTTTGCAATATTTGAAAAGCTGCTTGTCATTGTTATAATGATTTCAAAACTTTCTTATATTTAAGTTGAACAGTTTTACCTTTCAGTTTAGGTAAAATTGTTGTTTTAAAGTAACAAGCTTTTAGTGTTTTAGCCTCATAATAAGTTCTGTATAAAAACGCCTAACCTTCAACTTTGCTCAAATTTACTTACCTTGCCAGATGCAATAATGCAAGAAAGACATTATAATTTACATACAGGTTTTATCTAAATTTAATAGTATAATTTTGTCATTAGATGTTTAATGATTAAAAAGAAAACAAAATTTGAAGATTGTCCATGATCGATGTGGGAAGTTTGAAAAGTTAAATACCTCTTCACCCTCTCTCCCTATGTACACATTTAGCTGAACCTGTAATTGTAATTAAGTATTGTAAAAATCTGTGACATTATTGAACGGTGTCTGTACACTTCCAATGTCCACACATGTGTTTCTAAAACAGGTTGTTAAAAAAATAATTTTATCATGATTTTTGTTTTAATATGTCCTTAATAAGACCTTCGTATGAATATATTTATTTTAAATGTAATCAGTTTTCACATTTTTAAGATTTGAAAGAAAGAACCCCAAATTTTCATTAAATTTCCTGTGAGTAATTTTATTTCTATTTGTACAACAAAAAGGATAAAAGGCTATGGGTTGTGGGTTTTTTTCACAAACACATATTGATTTGTTTCAGCACTACTTTCAAGAGCATAATGCATTTTTTGTGTCACTAAAGATTGAAGGGTCGAATCTAAACGTTTTGAAAATTGAAGCCAATATAGTGGGACACAGCTATTGGTAAACAGCTTTGAAGGTTAGAAGTAAACCCTTCTCTCAATGTTCTTCCCTTTTTTATAAGTTATGTTTTAAAACTGTTTCTGCTACCTTGAAACTAAAACAAATCAAAGCTTTATAGGTAATATAGATATTGATATAGATATCCTCTTTGTTGTGAATTTAAAGGTATAACTAATGTATTGACAGTTATTATGAAGAGTTTTGAGAATCATGTTTTTGTTAAAGTCAAAGATGAAAGTTTTTGAATTTATCTGTATATTGTTTGTTTTAAAATGAATATCGATTTCATGGTTGGGAATTAATGTGTGTTGTTGATATGTTATGATCATGTTTGTATGAATGCAAAGGTACGTCCATGTAGAGTTGATGTGATATATACATGTAATCACTGAAGAGATAGTGTGAGAGACAAGTATAGAGACATGGAGATATTTTGGTAAAGTTTGATTGTACTGTTCCGACCTTTTTCTGACATGTATAGAGACAGGGAGAGGTTGTGGTCAAGTTTCATAACACTGTCCCGACCATTTCCTGACATGTATAGAGACAGGGAGATATTGTGGTCAAGTTTCATAATACTGTCCTGACCATTTCCTGGTCAGGCTTTAGTATTCATTAAATAGAATCAAAGCATTAAACTAAGCTTATATTACCTCTATCGATTGCATATACTCCATAAAAAAGGAATCCTGATCGTGAGGTAAATGAGCTTGTAAAATATGTGTGAAACAAATTTAATGTATATGTCATACTGAAAGAGAAGAAAGAAAAAAAGGAATTATTTCAGGTTTCAGTGAAATCGCGGTGATATTCAGTGCAATTTATCTCACCAAGCACTATTTGCTTTTCGTCGCAAATTCATTGATATTCACTGTCTTGGACACGTACCACATGGAAATCAACCCCGAGTGATCAAACATTGAAATCCATTAGATTTTCATTAGTCTTAAATCTCAATAAAATACACTTTTAAATAAATACAGTAAAAAGTACATCTGACCTGATGACATATGAAATGACACAGCTGTAAGGAGGGGCTGGTTCAGATTCAAGGCTAATACATTACCTTTTAAGCAGGCAGCTATGACTCGATTCCAGTTATGATTTAAGCTGTAAAACGTCATGGTCAGTGAAAATGTCTCTCAGATAATGGAATTGGTTATGTGTGTTAATGTTATTTTGGTTTGTTCGTTATGTACCTATATAGTACTGTGTTCGACTAGTAATGTACTAGTATTGGGATACGTTTTACTTGTACCTAGACACGTACATGTATTCCGTCTTTGCGTATTGCAGAGTTATCTTCTCTTGGGAGCAGGTATTGATTGTTACGTCATTGGTTTGTGTGAGAAAATTACGTCATTTTCTCAAAAATTGCTGACGTTACTCTCACAAACAAGTGACGTAACAATCAATACCGGCTCCCAAGAGAAGATAACTCTGCAATACGCAAAGACGAAATTACTACAACAGGGTTTCTCTGTTTTCTTTTCGTTGTTTTGTTTCGGTGTAACACCAAGACATGTTAGTACGTAGCTGATGTAGAAATATCAGAAAAGTATTACAGTCAAATAAGCTAAAGGGTTCTTGATTTGTTTTCTCTAACTTTTCAATTTAGTTGAACGACATGAAAGCAGTAAAAAATCGACTGGATATGTTTTTTATAATCTAAAGAAAATAAATGAAAGGGGAAGAACATTTACTGTTTTAAAGTACATGAATGTTGAGTTGAGTCTCTAGAAATTATAGAATATAAAGAAAAACATATTTTTTAAAATGAAAACATCTGTAGAAATTAAAACTACAGAAACAATTTCTCGAATATTTGCAAAAAAAGAACCTCTGATTATAAAGACACTAATACCACCACCTTATCGTCAGGCTTGTGTCTTCAGTGACGCTAGGTTATCATGACGTCTTGTCTTAATTTTATGTCACAATATTACTTGAGACAATATGCAAAATATATATATGTATGTATTAACTGCATAAAACTGTATATGGTGATTAAGAAGATTAAAGAGAGAACCATATAACTACTTAATGTTAATTAGTATTGTTATGTCTGTAACAGTTCATGACATTTGCATTTACAGCCACGTATGACCTTGAAATGCCTTTGAAATTAATTTCTGTAACGATTTCAAAATCATTTATGCATAAACTTGTATATTTGAAATAAATTGATATAATTTTGAAAGCTTCAGCCAACAACTTGTACAGGTAGCTAATTAAGGCTATCAAAATATATCGTGGATAAAAAGGTCAATCAAGACGGCATCTGAATTTGTGAGTTGTAAACGAAGCGTGTCGAGTAACTTTGATCCTGTGAACTGTGTGATGTAGAAACTTTTAGAATTTAGTTTGGATTAATATATGAACATATTAGTGTTGAAGCTTTAACCAACAGCTTGTACATGTAGCTAATTAAGGTTATCAAAATATATCGTGGATAAAAAGGTCAATCAAGACGGCATCTTAATGTGTTAGTTGTAAACGAAGCGTGTCCAGTAACTTTGATCCTGTGTACTGTGTGATGTAGAAACTAATAGCATTTAGTTTGGATCAATATATGAACATATTAGCGTTGAAGCTCTTTGTATAAATCCGTTCCGTACCCTTTCCCCTTTTACCACACACCTGTTTTTGGAATATTTACAAACGTTTAGCATTTGATGTATGGAGAATGAAACGCAATAAAAAAAATAAAAAATAAAGAAAAACAAGTCAAAAACATTTCAAAGCTCATTACTTCCATGATGCTTGACCAAATTCTCCGTCGCTTGTCACACAGTAGGTTTAATTTTGCTGTCAGTTTTTAGGTATTTCCTGTTTATGTTAGAATTTGTTTTACTATAATACTTTATGCGATTGATACATTGAAGATAAAACTGTTTCGCTTGTTCTTATATGTGCATGCAGTCAAACTTAATGCCATTAACCTATACATAAATGTTAACGTTTCCAGTACAGGTATTCTTGTATAATTACATGCATAATTGGAAAAATTGCAAATCAGTTAAACTGGTAGCGAAATAAATCAATATTTGGAATTCCCGAATAATCATTCAGATATCAAGATACGGCATGCATACCATTCAATGTAGCTTTGTATAAGTCAATGCTTATTCAAGATGGACCTTTACAATGTACTTACACAATGTTGTAACTGATTACCGACAGAGACTTACTGATTGGGAAGGAAAGTATTCTTGATTTCTAAATATTCATCGAGTTTTACTGAAAACGGATGATGCTGACTTGATTTGTACCACATATGAATGAATGGTGATTTTCTGATTATTGTGATAACTGCTGGATCAGAAATCCACACATTAAATGTATGCAAATGTAAACCTTTTCAGTTTGTGTCCTTTTTTTAGGTCACCTGAGCTTTGCTCAAGTGACCTATTCTAATCGCTGTCCGTCCGTCGTCGTCCGTCGTGCGTAAACTTTTTACATTTTCAACTTCTTCTCAAGAACCAGTGGATGGCTTTTTTTCAAACTTAGTCAGAATCATCCTTGGTAGATGAGGCTACAAAATTGTAAAATTGGGATTACTACCCCAACCTCTGGGGCCAGGGCGGGGCCCCAAAGGGAAAATTAACCAATATTTTAAAAATCTTCTTCTTCAGACACACAGGTACTACACTCATTTTCTCTGCATAGAAAGAAAGATTATCAGGGGCTTTACTTAAATTGTAAATTTCAGGACCCCCGAGCTATCCGTTCTCTCTTGGGGAGGGGGTAAAGTTTACTATAGTTTATATAGGGAAATAACACTTTTGTGTATATTTTGACAACTTTCAGTAGGAAATTATTTTTACTTGGTGAGAATTATCCTTGGAGGAAGATGGTTTCAAATTGTAAAATTGAAATTCCTACCCCAACCCTAGGGGCCAGGGCGGGTCCCCAAAGGGAAAATTAACCAATATTTCCAAATTTTTCTCCTCCAGACTTAGCTTAGAGGTACTACATTCATTTTCTCTGCATGGAAAGAAAGATCATCAGGGGCTTTACTTAAATTGTAAATTTCAGGACCCCCGAGTCGTCAAACTAAAGGAAAACCTAAACAACAGCGTCAGAACAAAAGTACATACATACCTGACAGCGTCATCACACGAAAACAATGTAAGATTAATGGAATCTTCCCCTACCTTGAGAGAAATCTCCAACCCGAGGGTTAGACAACCAAGAAATCACCCGAGGGTTAGAGATTTCTCTGTAACACCCTCAAGGTAGGGGATAATTATTTTCTCTCATCCTATTATTTAAGTCACAGCTTCACCGACAGTAGTCTGCCATATTGGTAAACAAAAACACATTTGGGGTATGCATATCGTCATTCACTTTTCATGACGTCACAATTACCGATGACTCATTTTAATGACGTCACAATTGAACACGTGCTAAATGGCACGAGGCTATCTCCCCCTAGGGTGTGACAAGCTGATCTGTCCCGGCTAAAACGGGAGACACACCTGTGAAGGGTGGGAGAAATACGACATCATCAACTGAAAACAGGAGACATCCGAAGTAAACCTTAGCTGTTAACGAACAAGACTGTGTAAAAGCAAAAGCAATACATCGGCTCAAAAGAAGGAGTCCAAAGTAAAACAGCTGTTAACGAATACCTCCACTCAAAATGAGGAGTCCAGAAAACTAAACGTTCATACGAACTTGGGTAGATAATACAGTAAAATGAATATCATTCCAAATAATGATATATTCCAATAATAAAAAAAAAAAAAACATTCAACATAATGGCAGTGAGGAACAAATATAACTCATAATAATGTTCCAAATGTAGATTACCTCTCCTTATAGTAAAGATAAAAAAAGATATTGCACGTATTAAGGATTATAATAAACAATCACACCACTCTCCTAATTGGTTCGAGGAATGTCTTTGTACAATCAGTATGGATTTTCTTCCGTTAAAAAGGAACAAAGCAGTTTCTAAGATCAATACCAATTAAACGCAATCCCTTGCTTTAAGCCCATCTTCGGTAGTTCTCCACCTGGAAGCTGAAGTGATCACTTACACACCATACGCAGCGCCTGATGCAAACTTGGTTTAAGTGCACAGTTAATCAGAAGCCACCTATTAAAACATACCTGTCTGTACAACCCTGTGTGGAACGCTCGAACATGTCAATTAGACAATGTACAATGTACTGAATCGGTGTCCTCTGAGACCGATAGTGACTTTAACAAATTTAACGTCAGCCAAATTAACAGTAACACTGGCATCAAATACAAGTCTACAAATGTCTTTTTTCTGTGTGTGTCTGGTTGTTTTTAACTCGCCTGCCCGAAAGGCAAGTGAGCTTTTGCCATGGTGCAGCGTCCGTCGTCCGTCCGTCCGTCCTTTAAAACGATACTAGTCCTGAACGACTTAGTGGATTTTAACTTAACTTGGTCTGGGGCATCCTTTGGCCAATTTTGTATAAACGATGGATGTTGCCCCCCTAGGAGCAGAGGAGAGGGGCTCAATATGGGAAAAAAAGGTTAAACATTTAAAATCCCTCTTCTACCATAGGGATTTTTGGATTAGTGCCTGTTACTATTAGGGTGTTTTCGTTACTAGGCCACCATCTTGGATTTTGACATTGGCTATATCTCCAAAAATACTGGATGGATCTTTCTGATATTTCATATGTACATACAGTACCTACCATGGAGTGCTTTATCATTACCTCACTTCATGTACTTTAAACATATCCAGGTGAGCGATACAGGCCCTCTTGGCCTCTTAAGAATGCAGCCAGGATAAATACAGTTACTGTATACTGAAAGTTTGTCGCCCCATATATCCTTTTCATACTTTTCATATTGAACTCCGTAATGAGTGTATTTTTTTAATTTCGCCGAATGGTCACATCATACCATAAGATGTAATCGAATGTGAACTGCGATTTGGAAAGGGCTAAAGTTTGACGACGATAATGTTTCCCGGTGTAGAGTATGACAACTATAGAAACCCTTGAAACATTATCAAAGCATTCCTTTAGTTGTAAAGAAAGAAAGCAGGAAAGATATACAACGACGAGTGAATTTTCAGTCTCAAAACTTTACTCCTGCTTTTATTCTATTGTGTCTGTTCAACTTTTAACTCTGAAGATTAAAAAAGGATATATTTTACTAATTTTAGTGACACTATCAACTTTTTCCGAACACTTTACCATAAATGTTAACAAGATTCTTTGAAAAACCCCGACAGTGTGAAACTCAATAAAGCGATAAATAACGAGATCCATGTGTTATATTTTGTCCGCGTTTTTCTCGCGTTCTCGGGCATCCTCGAAGTCCTTGCGGATTTTTGACATGAGGCTGTGGTCAAGCATGATGTCTATCGCAGTCATAGCCAGAGATTTAGCCACTTTCAGCGTGTTCGTTTGTGCCTCGGCACTCCCTGAAACATTATAATCGATTGACAAATCAGTTTTATTATAAAGAATATTTGCATAATAAAAACAATTATAATGAACTCGAGAATGACTTCAGACAAACTAAGAAACTGCATGAAAAACTCATAGATATTATATTCATTATACGTTTCCTTGCCAAGCTGCGAGGAAGGATGGACCATAGGATTGTTTATACTAAACGTGTGTTGCTGTTTATCATGCACAACGCCTAAGCAGAAACTGTGTTGACATACCGACAGCGTGTAGAATAACCTGTTCTAGATACATTCTCTTCCCAGCAGATTGAACGTATCATATTTTGTGTAGACAAATATATAATAACAGATGTCTTTCATTGTGTTGCTATAAGTGGTGGGATTTGAAAAACAAAGCCTTCTCTCCATTTTTAAGAGGTAATGTTAAACAATGAAAACCCCATTTGATAAGAAAGTTTGCGATAATTACCTTACATTGTTAAATTATATACACATATCGTCCACTAACTCAGATCATTATTGCATCAAAAATATTGCTGTTGTAAGGAACCCTGTACCACTGCAAAAATGTTTGGAAACTGATTTTTTGAGCTTGACTATAGCTTTAATAAATAATCTCTGAAAGTAAGTCTATACCTTTCGCGATAAAGAGATAAAGTAAACATGAAAATTATAGTGTTTTGATCGTTAAATTTAAGTGGGACTAGACCCGGATTCGAACCATGGGCCCGTATTCACGAAACCGTTTTCAAGCTCAAGGATGGATTTTGTGCTCCAGCCTAATTTTTCGGTTCCGTTTATATTTTATAAATAAAATGTTATTTTGTCAACAATTTGAGGGAAAAAATATAAATAGACTTACAGAATGTAAAGCAAAATACTGTTTTCTATGTTTAGATTTGACGTTTTGATCGTTTGACTTGATTTAATTATAAGTGAGTTACAAGAAAATTGGTTTGAGCACAAATCCATGCTTGAGCGTTAGAACAGTTTAATGAATATGATCTCTGGACTTCAGAGATTTACACTATCGCTCTTATAGACAGAGCTGCCTGGTCAACGGAAGTGTCTTGGCCCAGCTATTTTACAGTTATATCCAAAATGAAATGAAGGGGAGGTAACTGTGAACTCGGAAAACCACAGAGCAGTGGGACAGACATCCATTGATAAGACCTGTTACCTGATGCAGGTGCGAATTCCTGGGTATGACTGTTAAAGTCTGTTCCTATACGGAATTCTGGATGGATCGAGGGAACTGCATGGGATACATCTGACATATCTGACGAGCCTCCCAACTTCTTTGTTATCTTCTCTCTCCTTTCAAATTCTATACCGAGAGAGGTTCCGTTTTTCTCGTACAGGTCGATCATTGTCTCGTTGGTCATCAGAGACGTGTACTCCTCACCTTGGATGACTTCCAGCTGTATATGACACATAAAATAAGTAGTAACTTTAGAAAAGAGAAGAATCCTTTCGGTTTAAAACCGATTGACGTGATCAAATTAAGACAAGACAAAAATATGCCGTATTGCATTACTACTCTCACTGGAGAACTGTAAGATACGTCGTCGTATAGCACCCTTGTCACATGTAGATTTGAGAATAATACATTAAATAGCTTTGCCGAACCTAATTTACATCTCGTAAACAAACGACATACGTTTAGAGGTATTCTTTTTTCCTTTTGCTTTTTTTGTTTATCTATTTTTGTTCTCAATTAACATCATTTAACTATATTTAACATTTCCGTGTTTCGTTGATGTGACATCGATTAAGTACTAAGCAAGTTACACATTACAGCCGGTAGTACTTGAGTCCCTTCTCAACTCTTGCCATGCAGTCGGTAGCTCTGGCGACCACTTATCAACCTATACCTTACAGTCAGTTACACTACTGATGACTTATAACCTCACGCTTGTAACACTGGCTACACTTTATCAGTTTGTACGTTCCATTCGGTAATATCTCCGACCTGTTATGAACTGATAACTTTAAGCTAGAGTCACTAGGGGTACTTTATCAATGTGTACCTTGCAGCGGGTATCACTGACGGTTTTTTATGAATTAGAATCTTCAAATTTTAACAGCTAAGACTGCACTTCATCAGTTGGTACATTGCATCCAGCAGCAATAGCGACTTCTTAAAAATGTAACCTTAAATCTATTAACACATCCGGTACTTCATCAATTTGTACCTTACAGCTGGTAGCACTGGCAGCCCCCTCGGCACACTTCAACACCTTTTCCTCGAATACCTTCAGTTCAGTCGAGGTAGGACAGCGTATGTAGTAGTCTACTTGAGAGTTTCCGGGGATGATATTTGGGCGTTGTCCTCCGTTTGAAATAACGCCTAATGTATGGATAGAACAATACAGAAATAGAACATGTATCGTCGTTGTCAAACTTGGCTTATATACAGTATAAATGGTTCTGTGGACGGAGAGAAAACCTTCCCGATGTTGCCATCAATAAATCATAAACTCACAACATCAAAATGACTGTCCAATTTATTGGCCACAAGGTCTATCACAACATCATTTTCATTCCGTATTGCTTTGCCCCGATGACAAATTGACATTTATTTTTGTTTGCATAACACAGTTGACCTCATCATATAGTGTATTGAACATCCAGCTTTTGGTCCTCTTTGTGCACAAACCCCCCAAAAAGTGATAGAGTCTCTTCTGCTGGAACATGAGCTAACAGGAGACAAAACCTGTTCAGGCTTAAAATAAATTTGACACCATAGACCCAATTGCTTGGTATAGAACAGTTTATACACAAGTCAATATCTCAGCACTTCGGCAACACAAATAATGCATAGATATTGAGAACGTATTGAGAACATACGTAAAGGACAAGCCTCCTCTCATTTCTAGCCCTATTGTAGGTATACCTAAACCTGATGTGGGTGTTCAATTTATCCATAATTTTGAAGAAAAAGTCAATCTACTTGGCTACGGATGATGTAACGTCTCTGAACAAGCAAAACTGTCAGTAACTTAAGCTTGCTGATTCTGTCGCACTTGCTTACATTATCGGTGTTTTTTCAAATTCCAAGAAAGCGTTTGTAAGTGTTAAACACTTTACTCTGTCTACCTTCATGGCAATAAGTAATGGACAAGATTAGTTGACCCAATTTGTGTTTTCTCGCGAAGACATTGACTCAGCATGACTACCCATCAACTTCCCGTAGCAATAGAAATGCCCCTGATAGAACCATAGGTAATCTTATCATAAACAAATGTCAGGGCTTACAATTACAATTCCTTGTTGGGAAATTAAACTTGGCAAAGACATTAATTTGCCGCGGGAGGTGTTTCCTGCGCAGATTCTTAATTGCTATTTGAACGCTCAGGCATAAATCGCACAAAATCCATTTTGCTGGTGAGAGTCGGCAAGATATAGATTAATGGCACAAGTTCATGTCAACCTACAATGGCATTCAATGTTTATAGAAAATTGTACCTGTGTTTATAAAGAGGGGCAGTTCAGGGAAAGAGTTGAGATATGCCAGCATATATTCCCCACATATGAATGAAACAATGTTAGTTATTCGTTTTAGCGGTGGTCATTTGCAAAAATGATGACTGAGAATACTTCTAGTTCCCAAAGGCACGTCACGTAAGTCAAATGTTATGCACTCCTGTATACTTTTAGCTCTCGGGGCGTTTTAATTTGCACANTGATATAAGTAAGCAACCGTACCAATCCCAATCCCTTTTATGAAAGTTGACCTCGAAGCACACACTTTTGCAAAGCAATTTTTTTTATTCAGGCATCAGACCACTACAAAACAACTTGTCTATCCTTAATGCTACAGTCTTGAACACGCAAGCTCCTGATATTAAAACATGCAATCAGATGTTATCGGCAACATATTCAACATTTGCTACATTCATGGTCAAAACAAGGAATGCTGAAGTATCAATAAATTCGTTATTCTAACTACAGCAGAATATTACCAATGGAAATTAACATGGCGACCGCTAGTTCAGAAATTCCGGACGGGTCAGCGTCGTCAGCTTTATTGACAAAACCCGCGATGTTAATCTTGGTCAAATCCAAGGTAACAGTGTAAGACCACGTCCTCCTTCATTATCACACATCGAAATGTATAAATAATCATAAAGGCGACCATAAACCTTCTCATATTCTCCATCAACCTTCTTATCTCAAAACCTTGTGTTACTACTTTTTACCGCCAGAAGTCGAAATCTATCTTGGAAATCAAGATATTTAAAGCAAACTCTTGAATACCGAGCTATCAGCGAATCGTAATCAGCGAAGGTCAAAGCCACTTGGGTGCTATAGTGAAGAAAGTGGTAACGTTTGATTAATCGAAGTTGTCACGGTTTTCTCACAGCTACGCAGTCATAGGCTTGTGATGTTGTAAACAAATGTCGAGGTAAGTGGCTCAGGATAAAGAATAATCGATTTTTATATAAGACAGAAATTGTTAATAGAATATCTAGTTTAACACAGCATATCATCGCTTTATCCGAGATGTGAACTTAAAGATGTTGGCGAGGCTTGTATTACTGGTCCTGATCCTCAAAAGAATCAGTCTTAAAAGTATATAAAGTAAAGACTAGAAGAATGAAACAGTTTGTCACGAATACATTGCTACTGAACTCATTACTGATATAGTAAATTCGTAACTGAACCATTTTCACGATTTCGACCTCAATATGTTTTATTTATGCTTTTGTTTTGTTATTTTACGAAATAGGTTGCGAATGTATATTTATATCACCCTTCGCATTTCATGAGAATGACAACTAAATGCTCATGTTAAAGCTGTTACATACTTTTGCATTCTTACTGTCCGATACATTTAAACTATCACATACCGAAATTACAGTACCACACTTTAATACATTGTCACCAGCGAAATATCAGAACTTATCAATGTGATAAAAACTTACATTTTCGCAATAGTAAAAATATATGTGAACGAAAAGATAAAGATCCACATGTGATGAAGATCAAGTATCATTTTTATGTCGGCCAATCAGAATGGTATTTTCTATTTATTTCATCCGTAGCCGCAGATATTCTGTTCAAAATGCTACTGAAGCGTTGGGAGAAAAAATGTTGTTATTGTAAACCCTTGTGGCAACCACTTCACACTTATAGTTGCAATCAAATCGTAGCAAACAACGGGAGATTTGGTTGTAGTACATGTACTCATATTATGGGAGAAACAGAGGATATGATTTTATCTAATAAATTCTTATCTATCATTTAAGTCTATTGCAGGAAGGGAAGTAAAAAGGAACAGATCATATCGTCAAAACACCAGAAATTACAAACAAGACTAAGACACCAAACTCTATATTTAACGGCAACACATTCCTTGAAAATGACGTTGATAATTTATAAAGTGGAAACATGGCTATATTGGTGTTTGTCACCCTTCTAATTTGTAACACTCTTTCTGATTGGATATCTTGCCAGGGTCTATAATTCTATAGACCCCGCTCTGCCGGGGTCTGTAAATCCCGTGCGAGGGTTGATAACTCAAACTAGAATATCTTCATAACAACAAAGATGGCGTCCGAGTCACACAAGCGTTCGAGGTTTACAAATCATTCACATGATCAAATAGCCTACACGCAATTTAAAACGATAGCAAATTCAACGAAACAGGCAATGAGGGAACCGCTAGAGTGCCTATTGCAAAGATGGCTGTGTATTGTCCGAAATATTGCTGAAAAGATGTTTGGTAGGGCTATTTGGGTAGCAGTCAAGTACAACTCAAACTCACTAAGTGACTTATAATTTTAATGGAGAAAAAAAGGTAATAAAAGATTATCAGGGTGACACATTTGTTATCTCTGGGTAAGGATGGGTCTACTGGCTTATAGACCCCTTTGATCTTTCTAGACCCCTCGTCTTTAGCTCGGGGTCTATGAGCTCGTAGACCCCTACTAACCCAGAGAACTAATATTATCTCTATACACAAAACAAAAATGTACAAATGTAACGTAAAGAATGGAACAACTTGACGATGTGGAGTAAGGAAACGAATAATATACCATGAACCATCCAGCCTGGCACCATCTGCTGTCGGAGACAGGATATACTCTGGTAGCAAAGCACTGCGGCGTCTAGAGCATTAATTCCTTCCCATGGCCATTCCGCTGCGTGTGACTCCCTCCCTGTGTACTTAAAGTTGATCCTGAAACACGTGAGGTAATGTCTTACACTGTTAGTGTTTGCTGATGATGTGCAGGTCTTATACATGTAGCTGGTCCATACTGAAGAAAACTCTAACCAAACAACGAGAGACCGAGGAGACATCAAACCAGAGAAAAGACATAAACAGAGAAAGGATTACATTCGAAAGTAAAACGGGGAACAATCTCCATAGCGGCCATACATAAAATAAAACCGGAAATAAATCAGGAGAGACAAATATAATCATAGGATCACCATGGAAACATTCATGCAAGTAGCCAAACGAATCGTGACGTTAAGTCTGCGTAGACAACACTTTTAAATATGGATGATATTTCGTAATTGAACATGTGAAAAACCTGAGAGCATTTCCTACTCGTAAATCTGCAATACATGTACGAGTGTAAATCGATATTAGGATTCAAAAAAAGAAATTAAACAATTTCACGAACTTGATTGCTATATATAATTATATTTCAAGAGCTGTATACACAGGGTCCCTGCAACATGGCAATGATACTACCTCATCTAATTGATTTTCTTTTAAGGTATATATTATCTATATTTGACATATCCCTCAATTCAAAAAGGTTTTCTCAACGTAACTTGTTGAACAGCTGTGATGCCTTGTATTATCACTAAGCTTATTCAATTAATAACTGTATGAAACTAAAACCTTATCAAAATACAAAATGAACTGATAATTTTGTATTATTACTTATCTTACGTTTTAATAGTAAATATGTTTAGAGTGTGAAAGAAAGAACATATTATTTCAAATGACACTTTCCTTATTCGACAAATTTGTTCACTGTATATAATATGTAAACGTTTATCGATAAATATAAAAATGAAACCTATCACCTATGACATACTCTTTGCGCGCGACGTAGTTTGGCTTGAGCAGCTCGTACTTGGACGGATGAGCCATCATTGCGAAATCAATGCCTTCAAATGCTCCAGCTTTCAGCAGCCTCACCTTGCCACCATTCTCCTCCTCAGCCGGAGTTCCAAGAATGGTCATCTGGATATGATAATTGACTTCTATGAGGATGTTTTGAGTAGTATTACCTTTGCAAGTAAGCATATTGTGTTGAATTTTACAAGTGTTTTCCCCCTTTTTAAATCCTTACATAAAAATCTCGTTTCTATACTTTGTAGGATATGACCAGCATTTTGTTTGTTAATTGTCAAATGCAATGCTTTTAGACCGATAGGAATTTAAAAGGTCTTTCTTTCCAAAGGTCTCGTCCCTTTATAACTCTCCTAGCGGTGTGTCGGGGGGGGGGGGGGGGCAATATGTTTGCACTCCGTACGTTCCCTCCGTCCGAGAAGTTTGTCCGGGGCCTATTTTCTATACTATTTCACCAGGAGTAACAAGATTTAGTGTACAAGGACATCTGGGGATGGCGGATCACAGAGTACAAGAATCAGATTACTGTGAACTATTACTTGACCTTAGACTGTTACTTGACTGAAAATGTTTGTCCAGGGCATTTATTTTCTGTCTATATCACATGGATAAACTAGATTTGCTGTACAAGGACATCTTGGGATGGCGGAGGATAGAGTGCAAGAATAAGGTCACTTTGACCTATGAATTGACCTATGAATTGACCTTTGAATTGACCTTTGATCTAAACTTTTGAAAAAAAGTTTTTCCGAGGCATATATTCCTACTTTTTTTCCCCGGAGTACCCATATTTGGTATACAAGGACATCTTGTGATTGCAGAGTGTAAGAATAAGGTCACTGTGACCTATGACTTGACCTTTACTTTTGAAAATGTTTGTCCGGGCCATGTATCTATGACCCCACTGTTACATATGCTACCTGACATAAATGTACTGTTCGTTAAATATAAAAATCATCACCGGTGGGAACTATGGATTGCCTTGCAATACTTTGCCTTGTTTCGTTTCATTTGACATGTGCTTTGTTTTGTTACAAATAACAAGTTAATTCTATACAGGTTGATTTGACCATGTAATGGCTCGCCTTTTATAAAGGCCTCCTGTCTATAGTCTCTTCAGTATATAATTATTATTCATTACTGTCAGCATTTGCACTAACACTTGAAGTTTATACGCAAACAGTAAACAACGAAATTTTACTAAAATATACATTGTATGTTGCATAGTCAGCTGATTTGACGTTTTATATACCATAAATGATATGTTTTAGAACATATCTTTTACACGAGTTTATATTGTTAAACCAAAGAAATGTCTATGTGTCATATGCTTATTTGAAATTTATTAATTTTGTCATGTGACAAACACTATTCATGTACTCAAGTAATACATTTAAAATTAAATATGTTGAAATGTCATAAATTATGATATGACCAGAAGTCACAATCATACATAAAACAGTTCATCACACAACGTCATGTTATACAGTGTATATAATGTTTTACACGGGCAAGTGAAGCGAATCACCCAGGAGTTAACTGGTAGTTAAGCATACGTACTTTTCCAAGACTTGGGTTTTGTGAGAGTACTGCCTTTAATGCCAGACCCGCTGCTATGCCAACTTCGGCAATCAAGTTATGACCACATGCGTGTCCTATATCCGGAAGTGCATCATATTCACATAGAAGTCCCACATGTGGTTTCTCAGAATCTGAATCGCCATACGTGGCTCTAAATGCTGTTTCAAGCTGGTACTTTTTGTCCACTCGTTCAAAGCCATGATCCTTCAAAAATCTGGTCAACACATCATGAGCAAAATATTCTTGATCTGCAGTTTCAGGATGACTCCATATTTGTTGACTAAGCTCGTTGAGATCACCGGCCGCTGCGTCAATAGTTATACAGGCCAATTGTTTTAGCTGATGCGCATCCATAATGGAGACTTGTCGGTGAACTAAATCTTGCTACATCAAATTATATCAGCGTAGTCCTTCAGGTATATCCACACGTACCGACAACAATTCACGTACCAAGTACACATATGTACATCATTACATCTTTCTAGGTCATTCATGTACGATATTCAAACACACTCAGGTTACATATCTGATTCGAGACCATGTTTATTCGTAGTCACGTACTCTGCATATCTTAAAAAACACACTTGTTAAGTTGATGATATCTTACTTTGTAATAGGACAGATGAAATATGATAAAATGGAGTCTTATCTTTATCAATCTCACACAAAAGATTTCTTCAGTAGAATGGTGTGTGATATATAACTTGTATTCAGAACGCCTTTTTGATTTGAACTCATGAGATGTTATCTACTGATAAAATCGACTAATTGATGAAAGATAGGTTATGGTTTCTGGAAGTTATTTGAAATTAGTACGGGATAATTATGATGATGAAGATATATTTTTTTATCTGTGTTTTTGATAGTTTGTCACCGATAGTGATGTGTCCTGTGGGACAACAGCTGCCTTTGCTAGAATATTTAGCGCTTTATTCAAACTACTGTCATTAAAATGTGTGTGTTTTTTCTATTTCACATAAAAGTTAATAGCTGTATCCTGAAAATTTGACAGTCAACCGTACTCCTGTATACCTTCAATATGGACTCATACAAATGGGAAAAATCCATTAACGTCTTATCAAGACTGTGTTTGTACTCTTTGTATATTTTATTCACTTTTCTTTACTCTACGTCGCTATCACAAACATTCATACGTTAGATGTGTTTAGTAACTGATGATAATAACGATGAAAGCATGTTTGAGTCCTCTCCAAACAGTACTGATAGCGTTGATAGACTAGGGAGGTTAAGCACTTCACATAATCTCTATATTATTGCTATATCACAAAGGCTCATTCAGGGCCAACTTACTCGGTGATGCTATGACCAGCTGACTTTATGTTTTCATATAATATGACGAATTTGTCCTAACATGATTATCCATGTCGTTTTCTTTTTGTTTTTTTTTAAAAATCCATCATGATAATTTGTATGTATCACCGATATGTATACTAAACAATTTGTACTAAAGAGAAATTTCAATTCAAAATTTCCAAAGAAACCTGTTGCAGTTTTCAATTAAGCTACCCACCGGTCTCATTTCAGGACAAATGTTTCCTGAAAACAATCCAAACAGTCGCTTTCAATGTCTGTCCAAAACAATGTATCTATCGATTTTGTATATCACATAAGTGAAATCTTACATTGTATCTGTTATAGATTATACAAAAAAAGTGCATTTTATCGACAGTGTTCCGTTTGAAAACGTGCATATTACAACAAGTCAAAGTATTGCAACGCAATTTTAAGTCCCCTACAGTTAACATTTTTTCATAAACTGATATCAGAGGTCAAACTTAAGGTCACAGTGACCTACGTTTGCTACTCTGTAATCCGCCATTACAAGATGTACTTGATGCATACCAAATTTGGTTACTCCGGTTGAAATAGTTAAGAAGCTTGTCCCGGGCAATTCTTTTTCAAAGGTTTAGGTCAAAGGTCGAACCATATGTGTCACAGTGAGGGAACCGGCGGGGGACCAATAAAGCATATTCTTATTTATAGCTTATCACAAGATTGAGAAAAAAAAATATTAATAGTAAACATACGTGGAAAATATACATTTGTGGAACATTTTGATTAGTTAATTGATCTCCTGAATTAAAGCGAAAAAATTTAATATTCACAAAAATAAAGTAATATATCATTAGTCTGTCAATTGATAAAGTGCATAACTAAACTGTACTCATTCATATCTAGATTCATTTAACATATTTTGTAAGAGAATCGTTTACACGGAGAATAGTCAACAATTTAACAATACAAATAGGAGTGTTCCGTTCTTTGTTATTAACGATATTGTTGGTACATGTAGCTTCAACACAAAGCTTTTATCGAGCTTACTTGTATGTCTTCTTATGTGTTATGTATGACTGTTTACGCCAAAGACAGTTGAACACAGTTAATGATCTTTTATGAAAAATGGTGGTTTTACATAATGTCAAAGATTGTTTTACCAGTTGTTGATATGCTATATCTGATTTGTTTACAATCAAATTAAATACTGTAGGCATTGGACCTAAGGGGAACATATAGCTGTTTGAGATATTCTAATTAATATCCGTAGCAATAATCTGTAATTTCACTAAAATCGACTTCGAGGTCAACTTGGTATTCCAGTTCGAGATATCCAAGTTTGAAATATCGAAGAACGAATGTATGATTTGATTACTGTTAATTGTGTGACGTTAGTATGCACACTTTTTCGCTTCAATCAGTTACATGATATATATACCAGAAGAAGGAAACAGGAACACCGAAATATGTGGAAGTAGTGTGTTTTATAAAGGATTTGTTCGTAAAATGGGTAGCAACCGGGAATCAAATATACTTATATAACTTTACAGTAAATGCCTAGATTGGCTTCAGCATGGTGTTAACAGCTGTTCAATCTGTATGAAGTTTCCTATTGATTTTGTTTGCTCGGTGAACATACTATCAGGAACGTCCATCAGACAAAATATTGCATAGACACAATATACCTCAGCGTTACATGTATCAAACAACAACAGGTACATTGTACGTAAGCAGGAATGTACAACAACAAAAATGGATTAGAAATGCCCCTTATGTTTTCAATAGATTGTCGCTTTCAGATTTGAGGACAATCTGCTGGGCCCCTTGTTCAGCGCTTCAAAACTGAAACAACCGGAAATTTCACTGTGTCAGTACTCATTACATAATCATTATGTGATAAAATAAATGGTACTACGCCAAGCCAGTCTCATTCGCCGTATATAAGCTGTTCAAAGTAATAGGGCGCCAACAAATATTAAGTTGTTTGATAGACGACCACTAACTGGATGTTTAAAAAGGCAGCAAAGTCTCAAAAAGCATCAAAGTGTTTAATGTGTCAGTTCGAAGCCATTTTTCAATTTGAGACAGAAAGGACCACAATGCAATACCTTCGTTATGTTGTCATATGCTTACATGTTTACAATTATGGAGAGTAAAAAGATGTTTGAGAGGCTAGGTCTACTCCTTCATAACATGTATAGTTCATTGACCCTCTTTGAAGGGTTTTTAGAGGATCAGTCACCCACAGGGATAGCTTACAAACATATCACGACGTCATCACACAACGTCTCAAACTACTACACCGTCAGAGACAGGATAGACAAAGTACAGTGTTAAAATACAAATGAAAATAAATTAGACTCAGACTTAAATCAGAATTCTTCCCTGCATATGTTACAGTTGATGTCTTTTGTTCAAGGATGATCTTTTGTGCGTACTCTGATAAATCAAATAGTTAAATCATTATGTGGCTGTGATTGAGATTACATTGTGATAATTCAAGAAGCATTAGTTATCAACTTGTGATAAGTACTTATAATATAGGTTGTAAAATGTTAAGAGTATATTTCATGTTAAGGTTCACAGTGACAATGTGTATGTGACTTAGCTGTGCGCTAGCGCTGCGGTTTATTCGGAAACTAGTTTGGGAGATCTATAAAACATTTCACGACATTTTAAGCTTTTTCGTACGATCGTTACGGGACTCCGGTAACTAGACATTTTATGGAAGTCTAATGTTCCCATTAGGGCGTAGGTGTCATAAACATCAGAGGTATTCTACTTCAATAGTTGATCATGGCTAATGTACCAATTAACTTCAGATATAAAAGTATTCCAATTATTTCTTATAGTAATTCTACACCCGTTGTTTCTACACTACTCATTAACATAATGTCCATGCAATCAGACCCCAGCTGCAGCTCTAATTATATTACCTCAGAATAGCTTTTCGCTACATTATATGTATACTACTATCGTACATCTTGTCGTGTAGCAACTGGCAAATAAGATATAATCAATGATGAATCTATAAACATATACTGAAGATATCTACTAATCAAAAATACAATGAATGTGCTTAATGTCTATTTAGGGTTTATAAGACAACATGACATTGTTCATCCAAGTATTTTAATTAGATTATACTTTTGTGTGTGCAACTATTTGTCGCGCAATGTCTTATTTTCATTTTACGCATAAGCTGATGTCTTGTATTCTTGTCGTAGATCGAGTGGTCATGCTGTGCTGTTTGACAGTATCGACCAATATAATTTGGAAAAGACAAATCACAAACGGCTTGTTTTCATTTGCAATGAGCGGGATGCTTTTTGAAGAACGGTGCATATGCATATGCAATAAAAAGATTCAATACATTGTCAAATTGTACGTGTACAATAGATTTGGGTTTTAATGCTGTAGTGTATTTTTGGGGGGGGTTTGATGCTGGTATATTTTGTCAAATAATGCTGCTGCTGCGGTAATTTTGTTCTTGTTTAAATTGTACTATGTTGTACATATGTACTGTGCTAAAACATACGTTGTTTTTGTGTTTCGACGCTATGAGAAAAAGGTGACTGTGTGTCGTTGCTGTGTTAGACTTTTGTTCAATTGTACTTGCAAGAAGCTGTTTTTAAGTTTTCTTAACATGTTGTCACAAACTTCCCTATTGTGGTATTGTAGTACAGTGTAACACTGCGGCAACAACAGGAGTGCTGTTTCTGCGACACAGGTAGATATTAGCCTGCAAACTTAACGACTCCTACAGTAATGTGATTAACTGTGAGGAATTGAAGCATGTACGTACATAAGGGGATCAGTTATCGATCAACACTAGTGGTGGATAGAGCAGCCAACAGCTCCTGCATAATCTCCTCGACATGTCTGAACGTATTTGGCAGCACGAACGCTGTAACCTGGAATAATGACTTCATTATTAACTCACAGATCTTGTGGAATTAAGGCTTGCATTTACCAAAGCTTATTTCACTAACCAGGAACAGCTACTTATACTGGAATGCCAGACACAGTTGCATTCGTATAACCTTACTTCTCTGTTCTCTGTTGGACTTACAGCGCAGTACAAATCATGACTGGTATACATGGGAACGTATTGGCGGATGTCATTCAAGTGTTGCTTTTGATCGGTGAGTATTACAGCGTTTGATTTTAATGCGGTGGA